TGGGGATTCGAACCCGCCACCTTAGGTGTATGTGGCTGGCGCCTTAGCTGCTTGAGCCACAGGCGCCGAGCCCTGAAATTCTCTTTAAGAGGAGGAGTGATCTTCTCCCTTGCATTTCCTCTTTCCTATAGGCTGGAATTCAGACAGAATGGCCGGAGCTTCAGTAGCCATCTTGGGCTATAAGTTGGCCCACTAAGAAGTCCACCAAGCCACAAGACAGAAAATTTTGGCTCCTGAGGACAGTGGGATGACATTCCAGTCCTAAAGTGCCAATTCTGGCATTTCTGTGATAGAATCAACCCTCATGTGTGTAAGACACTTGGCGGGGCCTCTGTTATATGTGGGTGGGTCTGGATCTTGACTATGATAAACACCAAGAACTTAGGAGTGCCCACTCCTGCCTCAGAGAGTCATGTACCCCCATTTTTGTGTTGGGATGTGCTGATGAAAGAAAAGTCAGGGTGTGACTGGAATGCTGGATGCCTAACTGTAGCAATGGACAATACCCAACACACACTAGGCCCTTGATTCATTGTCGCAGATAAGCTTATGGGAGCTACTTCTCTGAAGGTGAAGGGGTCGGCTGCTAATTGTAGATGAAGAAATTGAGCCACCAAGAGGCAAAGTGACTTGGCCAAGGTCATCCAGCTAGAACACATCAGAGCTGGGATGTGACTCCAGGCCTGTTTCTCAAGCCTGTTCTTTTCATAGAGAATCAGTAGGGAGGTGCTTTTAAAAATCATTCCCATTTTACACAGGAGGACAGCAGAGCCCAGAGTGGGATGGTGGTTTGCTTAAAGGACACACACACAGCGTGTGCAGAACAAAGCTCTGTACGGTGCCTGAGACGCTGCCTACATAGGCTGCTGGGCTCAGCTCTGCCCCGAAGAAAGAGCTCTCTCCCTGGCCACCAGAGAGGACTTGCTTCAGTGCCTAAGGCAAGCACAAGATAGCAGTTCTTTTGAGGCTGGAGGGCAAAGACTTTCCTTTAAAAAAAGAACTGGAAAACCCCAGGAAGGCTCTTGTTGTGAATCTTAGCAAACCACACAAAAGACTCTGCTGGTAATGTCTGCATTTCCATTTGAATCACAAATCACACTGGGTTATTCAAATGATTTTTCAAGAACACAAAAAGATAATTCCCTGTGCGGTTTTGTTATTTTTCTCAGCACCAGAATCAGCCTACCTCTTGCTCCTCTCCTTATGAATGCCTTGTAACAGTTTTCAGCACAAACACACCCGTGGGTATCCACATATCTAAGTGGCCTTGCAGGTCCCCGGGGACAGGGTGGAGGTCAGGGTGGGGCTGGTCCCCTTCTCCAGCAGGAGGCACACGTAGTGGCTTCACGGTATTAGAAAGAACCTAGGTCTGTAATCTGAGAACCTGGCACTCCCGCCTTGGTGGCGGTGGCGTTTCTACCTAGTGACTGGATGGTTCCTTACCATTCCTGAATCGCATGCTCCCCAGCCTTAACCCTTCCACATCGCAGACTCAACGACTCTGAATTCTCATTCAAAGAGATGCTCAAGGGCCTGGCAAGTCACAGGAACTCAGGGCTTGCTATCGTTTATTATTATGTTCCATATATGATACAGAACACTTTTAAAGAGGCATTACCCAGTTTGAGTTAATGATACTCATCTCAATGGGTTGGTGGGACTAATATCTACAAATCATGAAGCACAGTGCCTGGCACATAGTAGGTGTTGTATAAGTGAGATCCCTTACCTTAATTGCCTTAAAAGGGGGGATGGAGAGTAGGGAGGTAGCTGGGTGGATCCACTTGGGAGCCCAAGATAGCTGCTGAAGCTCTAGCCATCACATCTGAATTCCAGCCAGCAGAAGTTTCAGACCCACGGGGATAAATGGGAATTGCCTCTCTAAGGACAAACAAGAACTGCCTCCCTATATCTTTTTTTTTTTTTTGCAGTTTTGGGCCAGGGCCAGGTTTGAACCTGTCATCTCCGGTCTATGGGGCTGGAGCCCTACTCCTTTGAGCCACAGGTGCTACCTCCTCCCTATATCTTTTTAAGGGCCAAGGCTGGATAGAAACAGGTCAGGAAGGAAGGGAGGAGGTATTTGTGGTCAGTGGCTGCTGCTGATCCAGAAAATTTTACTGCCCTAGAATAGGGGTCCCCAACCTTTTTGGCACCAGGGACTGGTTTCATGAAAAACAATTTTTCCGTGGACTGGAGTGGGGGGGCCACTAAATTCTCATAAGGAATAGGCAACCTGGCTCCCTGGCATGCATGCTTTACAGTAGAGTTTGCACTCTCATGAGAATCTAATGCTGCCTCTCATATGACAGGAGGTGGAGCTCAGGCGATGAGGTGAGAGATGGGGAGCGGCTATAAATACAGATTAAGCTTCGCTTACTTCCCTGCTACTCACCACCTGCTGTGCAGCCCTGGACCAGTACTGGTTCACGGTCCAGGTACTGGTCTGTGGTTTAAGGGTTGAGGACCATAGCCTTAGAGCACGTAGCTCTGGTCCTCCTCAGTGACCTTAGTCCCTGAGCTGTCATTCTGCTCTGAGGGGAGTATCTCTGGCAGGGCTTAGGTTTTATAGTTAGCTGGAGGGATAAGAGCCAGGGTGAGAGGCGACGGGAAAGAGACTCTTCTCAGCAGTGGAAAAATCTTGTGTGGCTGATGGAGATTGTGGTGTGGTTGGATGGAGATTTTAGCCCCTGGTCATCTCCCTGGCTGTCTTGATTGAAACCTGCTGGCTGCCCAGATCCATGCAGGCTGTCACTGCTGTGGAGAAGCCTTCCTTGACTTCCTGTGCTGGTAGGGACCTGCCCTGGGGCTCCCCAGCCTCTGTGGGTATCCTTAACAGTACTCAGTAACCCCCTCACCCCTCGCTAACTCACTCATGTTCTCTGATGGACTGTGCACTCAGGGAGAGCAGGGAACACTTCTAACTCACTAAAGACACACCTCTGCCCCCAAGGCCAGCCCTGCACACTGTGGGTGGGGGGTGGGGTGGTCCGCAGTTACTGGATCCCAGTAACTATAAAACCCAGTTACTTGGGTTTTATAGTTAGGGCTCAGCACCTCCTATTTCCTGCCTTGTAAGACACTTCAACTTGCTCGAACTGAGGCTGCCACCCCTCACCTCTGCCTGCCCCAACAACTCCTTCTGAGCCCTTCAGACCCCTTTGGGTTCCGTCACCTCTTAAGCCTCGGTTTTCTCATTTGTAAAATGGGGCTAATAAAGACACCTACACATGGGCTGGCTGCGGAGGTTCAGTGAGCTCATATATGTAACAGGCTTGTTGGCATAGGTCAGAGGTCACTACCAGAGGCCATGAGATATGGCCTTGGCAGCACAAAGGCAGCGAGTGACCCAGGTTCATCTGTGTCACTCACATGCTGTGGTTCCTCCTGCGGCCTCACTTGCTGTATCTGTCCAATGGGTTATCGTGTCTTTGGGGGGCCATCAAGAGGATCTAATACTCATCTCTGTAACGCCCACACAGCGGTGCCTGGCAGACAAGGGCTACTGTTAGTATTAAAGGGCATCCACCTGTGGCACGGTGGCTCACACCTGTAATCTCAGCACTCTGGGAGGCTGAAGCAAGAGGATCACTTGAGGTCAGGAGTTTTTTTTGAGACGGAGCCTCAAGCTATCCCCCTGGGTAGAGTGCCATGGCATCATGCTCACAGCAACCTCCAACTCCTGGGCACAAGCGAGTCTCCTGCCTCAGCCTCCCAAGTAGCTGGGACTACAGGCGCCCACCACAACTCCTGGCCATTTTTTGGTTGCAGCCATCATTGTTGTTTGGCGGGCCCGGGCTGGGGATTCGAACCCGCCACCTTAGGTGTATGTGGCTGGCGCCTTAGCCGCTTGAGCCACAGGCGCCGAGCCGAGGTCAGGAGTTTGAGATCAGTCTGAGCAAAGGGAGACCCCCATCTCTGCTAAAAATAGAAGCCAGTCATTGGGGTGGGAGCCTGTAGTCCCAGCTACTCAGGAGGCTGAGGCAAGAGAATCACCTGAGCTCAGGAGTTTGAGGTGGCTGTGAGCTATGATACCAAGGCACTTAACCCAGGGTGACAGAGTAAGACTGTCTTAAAAAAAAAAGAAAGAAAGAAAGAAAAAAGAGCATCCCCTTTGTGCCAAGTCCCTCTGCAAAGTTCTAGAAGCCAGCTGGCATTTCCTCTGGGACATGAAGAGTCTTGCCCTGGGATAGGTCTCTGCCTACCAGAAGCCTCATGCCTTGGTCCCTGGGGTGGCGAATCCCTCACCTGCTGCATCCCTGTCCCCAATGGCAGCTTCATTCACCCCAGATCTGCCCCCTGCCTGGGACAGGGCCAGCCCTGTGGGATGATCACAAAGGGCCCTATAGCAGGGAGAAGACAGGTCCTGTGGGTCTCTGCTCAGAGCAGAGGGCATCCAGCTCTCTCTCAACAGCAGCAGTGAAAACCCTCTGCCAGCAACTTCTCCTACAAGGAAAACAGGAGGGCAGCGCAGAGGCAATGCTAATTCCGCTAATTACCCCGAAGGGGAAAGCACTGCTTTTGTGATTGCTCCTAATGTGGTAAAGAGCTATTATTAGGCAGGAGCTGGGAGGCTGCCACCAAGGCGGTCTGAGGAAGTAGCGAAGTCTGGAAAGCTGCTGGTTCCCAAGGCAAAAGAACGGGTGGTGTTGGCGGGGCAGGACAGGAGGGGACTGGCATTAAATGATGGCCTACTGTGTACCAAGCAGCTCACACGAGCCGCCTGGATGTCAGGTTGTGTCTGCCATTTTGTAGATGAGGAGACTGAGGCACAGAGAGACTAAGTAACTAGTCCAAGGTCACAGAGCCAACACAGCAGTGGCAGAGACAGGATTTGAAGCCAGGACTCTCTGGTGCCAAAAACCATGCCCTTCCCACCATATCCCATCGCAGGCAGAAACTGGATCTTGTGAGGGCTTTGTGGCGTTTACAGGAATTTTTAGCTGATCTTTTCCACCTTTGATCCTTTTGGAGAGGGAGGCACAGAGTTGCTGCTCCCCTTCACCCCACTCGGGGTGTAGGCACCTTCTGATAGGACAGGGAGTCCTGGACATGGGCCAGGAGGCACCACTCTTGACTCCTGTGGTTTCCTGGTCTTGCAACCCAGCTTACAACATTCCTAAAGGGAAGTGGACAGCACAGGCTTTGGACTTGGGATCAGAGTCCAGATCTATGACTCCTTGGCCTTGAGTCCATTCTCTCAAGCCTCAGTTTTCCAACCTGTGACTTGGGGCTGCTTACCATCCACTGGATGGGGTTGTTGTGAGGTTTGTATCAGGGAGAAAGATGGTCCAGAAGGCTTCCTGTGGCTCCAGGCATAGACGCTCTTATCCGTCCTGTATGACTCTCTTTAACCAGGAGCCATCAGTTTCATGTGTGACGAGTCTAGAAACTCCTCTTATTCTTGGCCCTACACAGTCCACTAAGGAAGGCACGGGGCTGCTTCATTTGGGTTCCTCGAGTGAGTCAGGACTTGCGCGTCAGGGTCCTGGGGATTTAGGAGGTGACAACACAAAAGCGGATGACTTGGCTTTAGCAACCTGGTGTTAGGCTGAGTGAGAGGCTCTGGGCAGGGACGTGGCTTATGGACACCCGAGGCAACAGTGCCTGGTGAAGTTCTGTCTGTAGGATTTTTGTGCAAGAATTGCCCTGTGTTGTTCCGTGGCTGGGGTCAAGTGTCAGTGAACGTGCTGCCTAGCTTGTGGCACACTGGGGCACGTGGCAGTGGGTCAAGGTGCCCAACTTCATTTTTATTTTTTTGATACAGGGTCTTACTTTGTCACCTTCGGTAGAGTGCTGCGGTGTCACCTTCGGTAGAGTGCTGTGGTGTCAAACCCTTGGGCTCAAGTGATTCTCTTGCCTCAGCCTCCTGAGTAGCTGGCACTATAGGCGCCTGCTACAACGCCTGGCTATTTTTAGAGATGGAGTCTCACTCAGGCTCAGGCTGGTCTTGAACTCCTGAACTCAGGCCATCCCCCTGCTCCGGCCTCCCAGGAAGTGTCCAGCTTCATCCGCCATCAGGGTGCAGTGGAGCAGCCAGTCAGGACAGGCAGCTGCTGGTGCTGAAGGCAGAAGCCAGAGTCCTTTGGAGTGCCACACAAGCCGGGGGAGTTTTCGGCTATCCAGGGAGGAGTCTGGTCTGTCTGCTGAGAGCCAGGATGGCGCTGCTCAGACTACTATTAAGCAGAAACTGGGTTATGCTTGGGAAGCCCTGGGCACTTGATAAATGGCAGCCAGCAATGTAATAATTGGAAACCTAAGATCTTGCTCTCATGGGCCCCTCTCATTGCAGGGATTTTCACTGGCTGGAGTTGGCTTGTGATTGTCACTGTGGCCTGCTGTCCTGTTGTCCTATGGGGCACCTCTCCCACTGTTTCTCACATCTACCCCAGCGGGGCTATGCTCATCAGCTTCAGACCTGTGTTTGAGGCCTGCTGTGCTGTGTTCCAGTGGTGTGATCCTGGGCAAGCCCCTTAGCCCACTAACCTCATCTGTATGGTGGGGACATGAATGCCTATAAAAGGTTTAAGCAGAGCCAGGTAGAGAATGTCCACACGTGGTGCTGTTCACTCCCTGATAGGTGTACAGCAGGTTCCTTCAAGCCTGAAAGGTGACCTAGAAACTCTAAATGGGCTCGTGCTACTTCCCAGGTAGGTTCCCTGCCACCCTGTTCCAGCAAGAATTCTTTCTGGACACCTGCCCCTGAAGCCCAGACTGATCTTTGCACAAGAACCCCTGGGAAGAATGTTTAAAATACAGACTCATGGGCTGTGCCCCTGGAGACTGATGTGGAAGGTCTGGGCTGCAGGGCCCTGAGTTCTGCATTCCGTCCTTTCACGGTCTGGCCAGGAGGTGCTTCTGCTTTGGGTCTGGCCTGAAGCTCTCCACCTGTGTCCTGTGCCTGGATGTTCCAGGACAACGAGTCCTGACTAGTGATGGGCGTTGTAGGGGAGCCCTTGGAGGAGGACTGTGGGTGGGAGGAGGCTGGTAATGTGGGGACAAGAGTGTGGACTCTGGAGGTTCACACTCAGTCCTGTCAATTGCTAGTTGTGTGGCAGGAACTTTTTAAAGCTTCGGTTTCCTAATTTGTAGGGTGGGGACAATAGTGCCTGCCCCAGAGGCTTTGTGAGGGTTGAGATGATATGTGCAAAGGGCCTAGGGACAGAGCCCACACACAGGGAAGGGACCTGGTAAACCAGCTACATCTTCCCGAAGAAATTCTTAGGCTATCCCGCTTCTGGGGTGGAATGGGCTGGGGCCTGGGGTCACCAGGTTAGGGTAACTAAACCTGACCTGCCCCTTACCTTCAGCAAACGCCAGTCAGGCCAATACTCACCACTGAGGACAGGTCCACGTTCTCCACCCTCCTGTCCTGTAGCAGCACGGGCTGCAGGCCGGCGACATGGAGCTGCACGGAGGACGTACGGTACACGAAGCTCAGCAGCCAGTCTCCCCTGCAGGGGTGGTAGGGAGTGAATGTCAGTCTTGGGACAGCAGAGGACAGGATGGGACCAGAGGGGCCCAAGATGCCTGAGGGGGAAGCCTGGTGGGACTGAAGCTTCTCCTGGGTACTAGGGTCCCTGATAGTGGCAGCAGCAGCAGCAGCAGCAGCAGCAGCAGTGGACGCTTTCAGAGCCCAGCCCAGTGACAGGCACATGCCCCAGGCTTCGCACACTACCATGGTGGCTCCCTGAAGGCTGTTTTGTTCTCTCCTGGGAGCTCAGGGCCAGGAACAGTGTCTGGCATGCAACAGAGGAATATTTGCTGAATGAATGAATGAATGAATGAAGAAACTGGATAAAGTTCTCGGCAAGTCAGCATGTTACTCAGGAGACTGGCTCCTGGCTGCTTCAGGGCTCCCTGGGAAAAGTGAGAAAGGTGGGTGAGGGGTAGGGTCCTCCTGGGGGGAGGGTAGGACTCGGGTCCAGGTAGCCCATCTATCTGTGAGTTGGGGGGACCAGTTCTGCCTTCTGAGGACAGGTCGTGGGGGACATGAGGGTGGATGCTCCTCCACTTTCCTGAGTGCTGAGAACCCCACTGCCTGCGCCCTCTCCAACCAAACCCACTCCCTGCACTATCCGGATAAAACAACCCTGGGCTCTCTGCTGCCCATTCTTCAGTGCTGTGAGTGCTGCCCACGGGTGACATGGCCTGAGGGTCCCACAAGGTAGTCTTCGCTCTCAGACTCCTGAATGTCGACTGGGGTAAACCGGAGCCATGTCCCGGCCATTCAGCAAATCTGTGTACAGGCAAGTTTCTGTTCTCCCGTCTGCACCTCACAATTCACGTCCAACTCAGCAAGTCTGGCCAGCTTTTATTTAGACCGATTCTCACTCTGGTTTGCATGGAGGGCACCACAGTGGAGTGATATGGCTGAGAGGCAGGAGGCTGGGGCTGGAGTCCCCGCCTTGACGACAGGGCAAGCCCCCTGCCTGTCTGTGACCCAGGGTGGGATGGTGCTCTCTGGGTCCCTCCCAGTCCTGGCCCTTTGTGGTCTCTGACCACAAGCTACGCTGAGTGGGCATCACTCAGAAGGCCCCTAGAAGGACCAGGGCCCAAAGCTGAGGGCTCCTCTGCAGACCCTCCTGATGTGTGTCACACTGACTCCTTCTCCACCCCCACTCAGTCCTCTAAGCAGAGACCAATGTCTTGGGTACCTCTACCCAGGGCCAACTTACCTGCCAGCCCTCACCCTTGTACCTGTCCCTTCTGCTCTAGCCCTGACATCAGGCAACCCCCTCCCTGCCCCCCATGGGTGAGTGCCAAGGCCCCCTCACCCCTCCCTACTCTTGGCCTCACGCCTCCCCTGAACCCCTGAGGCCTTCCTAAAACACTCATCTTACAGTAGTCCTCCGCTCTCAGACTTTGACCATGGCTCCCCATTGCCTATGGCCTTTCTTTCTAGAAAATTCCTTAACTCTCCCCAGAGAGCAATGCCTTCAGGTCCTGGTGATCACCTTAATGTTGAGGGTCCGAGAGGGACTGTTGAAGAATGGTTGGCTAAAGGGGAAGGAGGGAGAGCCACTCAAGCTCTTTTATTGAACTAATCATGACGTATGTGCATCAAACACCGAATGTGAGGGTGGTCGGTAAGTGTTACTGATACAGATAGGCGCGAATGAGTGAAGGCAGCCTCATTCCTTCCAGACGGCTTCTCTTGTAATATGACAATGCTTTGTTTAAAATGTTATTTACAATTACTTATACATAAGTAGGGACAGAATAGGAACATAAATTAGAGGGCCCTGTACCCTCTCTACTGTGCTGAGCAAACCATGGGCCTTCACTGGCATTTAAGATCCCTCTCCAACAGGCTCTGGACCACACACACAGCCAGGTCAAGTCCTACCTTGTCAATTATGAGCTGTGTGACCTTGGACAAGTCGTGTGACCTCCCTTAGTCTCTTCAGGGTATCGCCTTGCACTGGTGGGAGGGTTGGCTGAGATGGTTCACACAGGTGCTCAGGGAGCCCCAGGTGTGCTTGTCATCCCCACTCTGGGCCTTCGTGGTACCTACAGCCTCCTCCTATACATCTAGTCTCTGCAGCTCCTATATACCTCTCAAAATCCAGCTTGGAAGTTACCTCCTTCAGGGAGTGCCCCCAAGTACCCCCAAGTACCCCCACCTGATAGGTTTTTTATTTTTTGGGAGACAGAGTCTTACTCTGTCGCCCTGGGTAGAGTGCCATAGCATCATAGCTCACACCAACCTCAAACTCTGGGGCTTGGATGATCCTCATGTCTCAGCCTTCCAAGTAGCTAGGACTATAGGTGTCTGGCTAGATTTTCTATTTTTAGTAGAGATGGGGTCTCATTCTTGCCTGCCTGTCTGCGACCCAGGGTGTGATGGAAGCAATCTACCTCCCTTGGCCTCCCAGAGTGCTAGGATTACAGGCGAGAGCCACTGTGCCTGGCCTTTCCACCTGATACTTCTAACTCTGTCCCTTGTGTGCCTGGCACTTGCTCCTTTTGTGATATTCTCCGTGTGTCCCCCTGTGTGTTGGTCCCTGGGTCTTTCTCCTTTTCTGGGGAGAGAGCTCCTAGAAGGGCTGTGCCTTAGTCATTGCCATATCCTGAGCTGAACCAGGAACTTCCTGGGGGGAGGACAGCAAGCCTCACCTTCCGAGGGCCCACGGGGGATGCTGGTTACAAACCCCATGGCTGAGCCCTTGAACCCCCACCACTGCAGTAAGGCTTGACATGGCTCGTTCACCAGGCCTGCCCTCTTGTAAGTGGGGCTCACCCTGCTCCTTCTTCAGTCATCCTCTCCCCATATGGATCTGGAGTAGGGCCCACAGGGCGCTCTCTTGTCCCCTTGGGGACTCCAAATGAACCTTCAAGCCACAGAATGGCACAGGTCTGAGCATACCTTGGCTTTGCCTGTGGCACCCTGGATGAGTCACTTGCCCCTCTCTGAGCTTTACTGCTTACCCAGAAGATTTGGGAAAAGTGAGTGAACTTGCAGAACTTTATTGCTATAAACTACACATTTGTAAATGTGTGTTTGGGTGTGTTGCCCTGAATTCCCTCCCCTCTCCCCTTACCCTCATGTTTAAGTATGTTCCTAGCAAACTAAAAGGCCTTTGGGGGCCAAGCATCTGAATGCTGATTGGTGCTTAATTTAGGCAGGAGCTACTGGAACTCTTTGGGTCTATATGTGCCCTTCCCTTCCCTTCCCTTTCTTCCTCCCCCTTTTTCTTTAGAGAGATGGCCCAGGGTCTCATAAAATAATTGAAAACCAAGCTTGTTAGCTTCAGGTTCTCATCAGAACAGATGGGTTTAATAAGATTTTGTGGCTTTCATGTTGCACGCATGCAATTTTAATACGTTCTCTTTGCTGTTTACAAAAAGTACCAAAAAATCATCCGTTAGGTGAATATGCCCAGTAATAAATAACTATTATCATTTATTAGGCCCCTGCTAAGTTGAGCCCTTTTGCTTCGTAATGTTCCTTAGTATTCCCAGAACCTCTGAACGGGAGAGACGATTATTCCTATTTTATAGGCAGGGACGCTGAGATTCAGAGTTGTTTGCCCCTGAGCCACCCAAAAGGTAAAAGGCAGGGTCAAGATTTTAACGTAGGACTGTTTGCCATCTAAGTCTTTGTCCATTCTTTTTTGTTTTCTTCTTTTAAAAACAATCTGTACTTTATTTACTTTTTCTGAGGAAGGGTCTTGCTATGTTGCCTAGGCTGGACTCGAACTTCTGGGCTTAAGTGATCCTCCTGCTTCCACTTCACCAGTAGCTGGGACTATAGGTGCCTGCCACTAGGCCTCACCGAAACTATCCTTACTTTAGAAATAAAATTAAATTAAAGTCTCTCTTATACCCTATTTCCAATCTCTATCCACTCGTAAGGGGCAGTCACTTCTATGAGGTCTGACAATTAAGTTCAAGAAATCGTCCTAGAAAAAGTGCTAGATACCTCATTGCTGAATATTGCTATGGTCACCTTCAAAGTACTCCCCTTGGGAAGCTCTGCACCAATGCCAGCTCCTAGACCATCAGAGCTGTCATCGTATGGGTCTGACAGTTAAGTTTGAGAAGTCACCACCATGTGCTTACACTGGCAGCACTGTACAAACAATTCGGTAAGATTTTATAACCTTGGTGTATCAGGGTCTTGTGTTTGTGTTGATGTGTGGTGGTATCTGAGTAGTGTTCATTATTGTTGTTGCCTATTTTGTGTAACAAATGGGAACAGCTCTGATGGTCATTCCAGAACATGAATTCTGAATTTGCTAGAAGGGTGGACTAGGCACTAGCACCACTGCAGGGCTTCCTAAGGGGCCTACTTCAAAGGTGACCATGGTGATGACATTCAGCGGTGAGGTATGTAGCACTTTTTCTAGGATGAGTTCATGAACTTAATTGTCAGCCCTCACATGTTTGTTATGATTCTTTTATACTGTGTGTTTATAAACATTCACAGACAAATGCATATGCAGAATTATCTCCTAAACAGGATCATAGTATAATCTATTATACTTGTTTTTTCTCACTTTATTCTCTATTTATGGCCACTGTGGTTATTTAAAATTTTTCATTATAAATGAAGCTGTAAAAAGGCCTTTTGCACATCTATTTCTCTGGGTGAGTACCCTGCCTTGCAGAATCTTAGAAGTCAAAGTTTGTGGGGTTAGAACATAGGGGCATTAAAAATTTTGATAGATACTGCCAATTGTCCTCTGAATGGATTTACTAAATTCGGCCACTATGAACAGTGTATGACACTGCCCATTTCTCCAAATCTTCACCAACACTAAACATTATTTATGTTTCAAATGTTCAATAATCTGATGGGTGATAAATAGTATCTTATTGCATTTATTTAATTGATGGAGAGGTTGGGTATTTTTTTAAGAGTTTATTGACAATTCGTATTTATCCTATGAGTTTGTGTGTAGATATCCTTTGGTCATTTCCTCTTAGATTTTTTTCTTATTGATTTGCATGTGCTTTTTATATATTATGGCTCCTTTCTTTTTTATTGTTTTTTCTACCATATCCTGATTTTAAACACCTAGTATAGGGTGTGATAGAGTCAAACTGATTGTGTCCTAGTTAATGCCCTCTATTCATAGCTAATACCCATCGTTAGCTACTATTGCTGTGGGCTAAATCATCCAAATATGAAGACTTCCCAAATCAATTCCATTTAGTTTTGGATGGCTGAGCTGAGATTAAAATTAAAGTTAACTGGTCTCATCTGAGCATACGCTAATTGCTTGCAAGGGGAAGAAGCTAGCAGAAAAATATCATCTGGGGTGAAAATTGTACTGTGTATGATTCAAACTATAGATAACCCACTCACAGACGGGTGTGTTGATAGTGTTGTAAACTCTTGACAAATGAGATCTGACTGTAAACTCCAGAAGGGCAGACATCTTCATTTGTTTTGTTCAATGTCATGGAGAATAGAGCAATAGAGGGAGACAGTTCTGGTTTGGAGAAGACTAAAGATGTCTCCATGTGCCTGGCACATAACAGGCACTCAGTAAAGACTTGGGAGTGAAAGTAGTTTTACAAACTCAAATGTTCTATAAAACTGTGTTCTGGAAGGGAGGGAGACTCTCTAGTAGTCTCATATGGAGTAATCAGACAGGCTTGAGATAAATATTCTGGTTCTGGCATGACCTTGGGTAGGTGACGTCACTTCTCTGAGCCTCAGTTTCCTTATCTTTAAAATGTGATTAATGATCACACGTAGAGTTTAGGAGAAGATTGAAAGAGATAATTACAATAAAAGATGGGGTCTGGCAGGTGTTAAAAGTCTAATAATTAGACTCTGATTCTTCTTATACCACTCCCCATTGCTGCATTATTGCATTGGGTTTTTATAAAAATAACTGTTTCCCTATGGATCCTTTCTGTTAGAGCTGGGCTTCTCTCCTCCTATCTTGTATTCTCGTACCCATGCTGGGTTTCAGGCATACAGTTTTTCAATGCTTTTTTTTTTTTTTCTGAGACAGAAAAAAAAATGGTCTCACTCTCATCATAGCTCACAGCAACCTCCAATACCTGGGCTCAAGAGATCTTCTAGGCTCAGCCTCCTGAATAGCAGAACTACATGTGCCCATAGCATTGCCTGGTTAATTTTTCTATTTTTAGTAAAGCATGGGTCTCTTTCTTGCTCAGGCTGGTCTCGAACTCCTGACCTCAAGCAATCCACCTGCTTTGGCCTCCCAGGGTGCTAGGATTACAGGTGTGAGCCC